AGTTTCTTTTGCAAGTCCCTAATAGTAACTAAGAACTATTGTGATTCGTTTGTCAAGATTTGTTGGAATTTTATTAGTATCAATGTTGATAAAGTTAATTCATTGGAGATAATGTTGATGACAGTGTCCGTTTTCCGCTAGTTAAATTGCTTAATATTGGGTTGTTCGGATCGAAACAAGCGTTGCTAAACCTTTTGTTGTGAGAGAAGCTTTTTAAAACATATCTTTCTGTATTCAAAAGTACGTTATCTTGCGCATATTTGGAAACTTTTTAAACGGATAATTTGTTATTTTTAAGACCGTTTTTCTTGCTTTAGATGACCGACTTCGAACATCAAGTTCGTGTCTGCCTACTTCACGATTTCAAACTGGGCAAAACAGCCGCGGAATTCCATCGAGATTTGGTCAAAGCATTTGGGAATGATGTATTCTCCAAAAGCCGATGCGGAGCTTGGTTCCAACGCTTTCGGAATGGTGATGAAAGTCTCGAGGATGATGAACACTCTCGTCGACCTCAAGCGGTAGACAACGATATTTTGAGGGCTGCAATCGAACCGGATCCTTGTCAAACTTGCTCAACAGTTTCTATGTTCCAATTCTACTATTGATGAGCATCTCCACGTCATTGGAAAGACGATCAGATGCGGGAAATGGCTTCCTCACGAGTTAAGCAGTGCAAAAAAGGCTTCACAGGTCGCTACTGCCGGAATCCTCATCCGCCACGCTAAATATCATGGCTTTTTTGATTCTCTCGTTACTGGAGGTGAGAAGTGGATCCATTTCGATAATACTATTCGAAAACGGAAATGACTAGGACCAGGAGAACGGCCAAATCCGACCGTGAAACCTGACATTCATGGGAAAAGATCATGCTCTCAGTATGGTGGAATAACAAGGTTCTTGTGTATTTCGAGCTTCTACAAACCGGCCAAACAGTCACATCCCACCTCTACAAACAGCAACTTGATTGGGTCAATGAAGTTCTCATTCGTCAAGGAGTAGACACATCAAAGATAAAGTTCATCCATTACAACGCTAGACCTCACGTTGCAAAGATGACTCAGCAAAAACTGGAGAATCTAAGATGGGAGGTTTTACCACATCCGCCGTATGCTCCCGATTTGGCTCCCTCAGATTACCATTGATTCCGGTCGATTCAAAACTTTTTGGTCAATGAGAAATTCAAAAACCGTGAAGATGTCCAAAATTAGGTCGCCAAGTCTTTCGGCTGAGTTTTTCAAGCGCGGCATCAATTCTTTGCGCAAAAGATGGCAAGAAGCAATCAATAATAATGGTGAATATACTTTGGATTAAACTGTGGTGTTTCTGTTTTTAAGGTAAATTTTGTCGACTACTAAAACGCTCGTTTATGTCCGAACAACCTAATACATTAAGCGAAAGTCGAGGTTATAAATTTTGTATTGTTTTTTTTAAATGGAAAGATTGGGGAGTCTGGGGAACTTAAGAAGGTAGAAGTGATAATTTGTGATGCTTTGTAGGAATTTTGTTATTATCACTGTTGATAAATTTAATTGACTCGAGATAATGTTGATGGAATGTTCGTTTTGTCGTGGCTAGATTGCATAAATTAGTAAGAATTTCGGAACCTTAAAGGAATGTTAGACCCCTTAATATGAATGTCAACAAACTCAGCAGAGCCCCTTGCGAACTATGAGGTATGATTCTCGGGGTCTGCGGGCATTGTCCTTCGTAAATGGCCGGCAAAACCCCGAATTCACTTTTCTGACCAATGTGTGCCCGGGGTTTGTCGGCGCTTTTCATGATAAATGACTGGCAACCCCGGATTGACTGTTCTTAACTGTCAATTCCGGGGTTTACCGGGACATTTCTCAATAAATGGCCGGCAAAGCTCGAGTTCACTGTTCTGTCGGGATTTGTCGGCAATTTTCTTAGTGATTTGTCGGCAAATTTCTTGGTAAATTGCCGACCAGACCCCGAATTGGCTGTTCTAACAGTGATTCCCGGGGCTTTCCGGCACTTTTCTTAGTAAATGGCGGGCAAAACCTGAATTCACTGTTCTGAGCACTAAATTTCGGGGTTTGCCGGTACTTTTCTTAGTAAATGAGCAGCAAGCCCCGAGTTTCTTTGTTCTAACAGTGCTTTCAGGGGTTTGCCGGCACGGCAAAATCCTTTTAACTGATTTTCGGTACCCAGCTCGACCTATTTCGACGTTTCACGATGTGGACAAAAAAACGCCTATGCCTTAGCCTTAGCTCCGGGTTCATCCCAAACCCAAATAGACTTAGTGCGAGGCGCTAGCCGCTAGCTTTCGCACTAAGTCCAAGCCCAATTCGGCTAGCCAATATCTAAGCTAAAAGTACAAACCCATCATGACATATATTTCACTAAAGAAACGCAAATCCGTCAGAGACGCTCCACAGTAAAACAAAAGATCCACGATACCAATGAAAATGAACGAGGAACGAATTTCATTCTATTCGGAACAGAATTGAATCTTTCTGGACCGTTTCGATGTGATTGCAGAGGATTGATTCACGTGAATGGGTATATCCATGAAAAGAGCCTATATAGCTGAAAATTTCTCTTTTTAAGGCATTTCTACTAATTTCTTTTCTAAAGCGTCTAAACCATTTCATGGTCTTTGGAGCCGATTTTGCTTAGCTTAGACCAAAGGATTGTGTCAGCAACATCAATCAACATTCGCTAAATGTGTTGAAACGTCTTGTTATGGTGCTAACAAATGATTTTGGGTAGGGTGAAGGTAAACTGCGGCAGGTTCAAAGGGCGGTGTCGATAGCATCAGAGGGAAAATTTTTCAGGCCTTAGCTATGTGGCAAAGAAAATTTCCGCAGATGTCAAAACACCCTTCGGCCGTAAGATCAAGGGTAAATGGCGGCAAGCTCAAAGAAAAATCGCGGTAAGATCAACGCTGACGTTGGTATGATAAAAAGGAAAATTTTTTCAACATTTCAAAACCTTCGTAGGGTCTTGCGGCGGCAAGATCAAAGGTAAATAGCGGCAAGATGAAAGGAAAATGGCGGTAAGATCAAAGGAAAAATTTTTGCAACCTTAACTATAGGCCAAAAAAAATTTTTTCTAACCGCTTTGGGAGACTCAGCTGGACCTATCTCGACGTTTTAGGCTATGTCAAAAAAAGCCCAAAATCGACATGTCAGATCTCAAATTCCAGACATGAGATCGACCTGAAAATTTGTCAGGATGCTCCTATGAGGGGCGGATGCAGAACCCCAAACGGGTGTGCCTTAGCTCCCAGAACTCGCTGAGATCCAAAAATGGGGGTTCAGCCCAAACCCAAATAGACTTAGTGCTAGGCGCTAGCGCTAGCCTACGCACTAAGTCCAAGCCTGAGCCTAAGCCTAAGCCTGAGCCTAAGCCTAAGCCTGAGCCTAAGCCTGAGCCTAAGCCTAAGCCTGAGCCTAAGCCTGAGCCTGAGCCTAAGATTGGATAAAAAGAAAAAAAATTAGAGCAAAAACTGTTTGTTCAAGAGAAAACTTTGAAGCCCCATAATGTTTTTCCCTTTTTATCCAATCTTTCTAATTTAAAAAATTTAACATAATGATTAATGATTCTGCGTTGAATGATACTAAATACTTGATGGTTGGACGCTCCTAGACCAACTCATTCATAATCGACTACGACAGATACAGGGTGTCCGAAAAAAAGCAGTCATCGGTTTTGAATCTGGAAAGTTTTCTCGTTGATTTTTCAAGGCTCATCGTAGTGCCAATGGTTTGCCAATGGTTGTCAATGGTTGTCACAACAAGATGAAGTGGATTTTTTTGATGATTTTGTGAATAGGGGATATTTGAGCTCCCCGGCATCAGCCGGGGAGTTAAAATCACGAATACATGAAAAACCCACTTTTGAATTCCTCTATTTCACCACAAATCTTTCTACTTTTTGTTTTTCTAAATTTGTTTTGTTCTTTTGAAATGGAGGGAATTCAAAAGGGTGTTTTTCATGTTTTCGTGGATTTTGAGCTTCCCGGTCGACCTCTATTCATAAAATCATCAAAAAAATCAACTTCATCTTATTGTGTGACGCCTTAGGCGAAACCATTTGACCATTGACAACCATTGACAATCATTGACAACCATTGACAACCATTGGCACTACGATGAGCCTTGAAAAATCAACGAGAAAATTTTTCCAGACTCAAACCGATGACTGCTTTTTTTTTCGGGCACCCTGTATAGCTTAGCGTCGATCGGCGAATCGTCGAGTCAACGTCGAGCGTCGAAAATTCCATTCCGTTTAGATAGAGCTTTCCGTTATAGATAGCCGTCGTAGCCGACTGGATAGGAGTGTTGTCTCCTAGTCGGGGGTTAAGGGTTCGATCCCGGCGGCTAGAAACATTGCTTCTTTTTCCCATTATTATGGGTTTTTTCTTAGCAACATTTGGGTAATAGGGGTAATTAGGGATAAAGGTTTCCTCCGTTGTGTTGTAATTCATTATTCGTGTCGAATAAATATACTTTAGATAGCCGTCGACTGTATTAGAAATTAAAAAAATAAAAGGATTTATGGTGAAATGAAGAAATTAAGAAGTCTCATTAAATGGATACGATGATTTTGGATCTTTTGCTTATCCCATCACTTCGCTCATCACTTCGCCCATCACTTTTTGTTATTCTGTGACCGCCGCTGAGGCAAAACCATTTTTGACATCGATCTACTATACTTTCAGCGATGTATAGTACATCGATGTACTATACTTTCGTTTTTCTTTCTTATTGTACACTTGAATGGTTGCTGTTGCTTAAACAGTTGCTTAAACAAAAAATAAACTTGTTTAGTGTCAATTTTTTCAAAAAATTAATTAATTTTTTTCAAATGGAATGTGAGAAAAAAAACCCTGATCAAACAAAAAAAAAGAAAAAAAAATAGGAAAGCATCGACAAATTTTTGAGGCATTTAATGGTGAAGATCATCATCGTTTAGAGAGAATAATTAGAAGCTCGAGAAAATTGAAGAGGAATTGAAAATCTTTCTTTTCATTCATCTTTGAAAAACCATTCGGGTGGTTCGACGAAAAACACACCACCATCAGTTGCACAATAAGTTGGGCAAACCTGAAAACATTTATGGCTTGCTAGCATCATTTGAGGTTGAGTTTGGTGTTTTTTTTTCCTTTTGTATGTTCCATTTCAATCACTTACCCCCTTTTCTCCTTCATCTCCAATTTCTCCAATCGATCCAACACTTCCCGCTTCACCTTTCCCACCGGGGAGTCCATTTTGACCTTTTGGTCCACGTAAACCCATCACACCTTGAGGTCCATCAAAACCCGGCATACCGATTGGACCTAGAAATGCATTAGACAATGAAAAAGAAAGATTACGGTATTTTCAGAAGTTAACATTAGAATATTAGAACATTAGAATATTAGAAAATTAGAAAATTAGAACATTAGAAAATTAGAATATTAGAATATTAGAATATTAGAAAATTAGAACATTAGACCATTAGAAAATTTAGAATTTTAGAAAAACAACTCACCAATCGGTCCTCGTGGTCCAATTTCTCCAATTTCCCCAGGTGATCCCGGAATGAACGGAGACGGCATCGCGTCTTCGCCCGAATCCCCGATCAATCCATCCAAACCGGGTACTCCTCTAAAATTTCCTACTATTCCTACTTTTTCTCAACTACCACTCACCTCGGTCCTAAATCACCCTTTCGTCCCTTTTTCCCGTCATTTCCATTTTTCCCGCGCTCTCCTTTCACCCCTTGTTCTCCTTTATCACCTGATGGACCCTGAAATTCTCGTATTTACTTGTGATTTACTGGATTTCAGTCGATGATTTATGCTTTAAGCCAATCCTACTTGTGATCCGGGTTTCCCCTGAACTCCAGTCGGACACGGATCAGGGCAATGAATCGAGTAATCGATCGGCGCATCACACGGTAAACGAGCCGGTTTTCCAGGTGCACCTAGATTTTCTTTTCGTTAAAGATTCGACTTAAAGATTAGGCTTCTTCAAAACAAATCCAAATTTCTTCAAATCATTGGATCATTGGATCATTGAAGCATTGAATATTTTCCTTATCAATTGTCAGCACCATTTTCATATTCTCCGAACTATTTTCCTGTTTTACCTGGAACCCCGGGTTGTCCATCAAATCCGTGACGTCCGGGTAGACCGGGCGGTCCTTTCGGGAATTCACATCTAAAGAAGCCTTGTTGAGTAAATGTTTCTCTAAATTTCCAACTGACGGGCATTCTTCATCGGCGAATCTTCGAAATCGTGTTGAATTCTTTGGTGAAATCGATGTCATAGCATGATTTCTCACCTCGACGATCAATTGCTAAAGAAAGAGCAAAATATGAAAGAGATCTATCTATTTGACTGGATATCATCAAAAGTTAATGTTTCAATGAAAAGGTATTCAGTTAACAGTTAACAGTTATCAATTATCAGTTATCAGTTATCAGTTATCAGTTATCAGTTATCCATTATCCATTATCCATTATCCATTATCCAAAGAGCACATGATTACGATAGCTTAGCTTTTACACTAATTCATCAAAAAACAAGCCTTAAAAGTAATGCGTCAACTTTTCACAAATCTTTCAACTAATTCCCAACCTGACAACCATTGGCATCATTTTCGAGTTGTGCGTTGATGGAATGAGTGAACGAGTAAAGTAGAGGGATCGCTGTGGAAAGTGACGAGAGACAAATCATCACAATCACTAATGATATCCAAATGGTGAGCTCATAAATCGACTCTCTTCTTCGCCATTCCCACGCCGATTCGCCCATTCACAAACTGCCAAATGTGATAAAAGTTGAAAAGAGACCAATCGTTTTTGCTAATGAAAAAGGTATAACTCAATTTCAAATAAAAGTTAAACTTTTGAAATTCAACGGTTAGTGTAAACTGTAAAAATTTCACGTAAAGCTCAAAATTTTCTTTTGCTCAATAGCTCAACGTCAAGAGAATTCGTCTAAACAAAGATGCTGATAAAAACAGAAAGGGAAGGTGAGCTCTTTGTGGGAAGAACTTTCTCCTTTCTCACGAAAATGTCCACAAATTGGGTCAAAAGAAATGGAACACGGGTTTTCCCCACCTCTTTCGAAAAAACTGATCAACCAGGTTCGATAATCACCACCCAAGCGAGATCCGTCAAACGCTGACGTTAAAATTCTACAAAGAGTCTTTGTTTTCCTTAGATAGTATACAATATTTATTTTTGTATTAGACACACACACAAAAATTAGAATTAGAAACTTGGTGGCACGGAAAATTCTAGAATGGCACAGATAAAATCGTTCACAAAGTAGCAACTTTAAAAAAATTTCCAAGTTTACTGAAAAAACATAAAATAAGTGCATCAAAGTGAGATGATGAGAACCCGTATAACAAGAAAATGAAAGAAAATTCACCTCCGCGAAAAACTGTTAAAAAGAGTCACTTAAAATAAACCTAATCTCAAAACGATATACACAAACTTTTCCTACAATATAAATGCTACCGTCAAAATCGAGGCGGTTGTTCCTTTGGTGACGACGTTGTGAATTCTCCAGAAGACAATGAATCTGATGCAAAATTGACAGAAGGGACTTGATCATGCGGAGGAGTCTAAAGTAGATTATGAATTGTGAGCAAAACAGCAACAATTCCTATGAAATGCGCTTTTACAAAAAAATAATCATCGCCAAAACTCACCCTATGCCGTAATGTTCGAAGTTGATTGACCGGAGTCGATGTATGACTTTTCAATGAATTCGCCTCGACACACCAAATTCGCAGCTTTCATGATTGGTGAGAAGGGAGCCGACTCAAGGGGAAGCAGCTCTAGCAATAGTGGTCTAAATTTAATTATGAATCAAATTATTGCAAAATAAATTACAATTGTCGACATCTTTGCCTTTGGTACTACTTGGTGTCCCTCCTGTCCTCGATCATTCGGCAACTAGAAAAGAAAGACATACAAAGTTTGCTAAGCTAGAGCTTGCCGGAATTATGCAGCAACCGCGCACAAGATTGATAGGAACACTGGCAAAAAGATCAAGCCGTGCAATAAACCAATGGAGATCGCAAGAAAAACCTAAAGTCAGTGTTTGTGAATTCAAGTAGCCAAATATTACTGTTTTGAAGAAGGTGACCACCATGTACCGGCACATCAGCCAAAACAACCATGGCAAGAATAGTTGAAGAACCTCCCTAAATATCTTCCATTTAGCTCTAAGTATTAAGGACTTACTTGGAAAAGTGGCCATCCAAGTGAACCAAGAGCCTCTCGAATCTTCAAAGCTGGTGTTGGTTGCGAGGACACCTTCAAATTAAAGTCAGTCTTTAAATTAATATTAAAACCAACCACATATCCATAGGTTATGTGAGCAGAATAGTCGACTGAGAATCCGATCGACATGATGATTATGATCATCGAAATGGCATCCTTAACTATTTTATTGCAGTGCAACCGTTTATAAAACAAACCGAAGTTCACATCCCAAAGTGTCATGAAACCAATGACTCCGAAGTCGATTGAAGCACAAGCCATGGCAACCCAAAGCGCACAGAAGGGCTGAAAAAGCAGCATAGGTAAATAAATTGGATTTTAAAGTTAGTCGAAAGTACGAATTCTTAAAAACACTACCTGAGGAATGAGGATAAAAGCAATAGTGATCATCACCAAGAGAGCTATCCAGATATTTTGTATAGTGTTCGGGATCACAATCGCATATTGATCGGTGAAGAGCCACAACGGCATAAACGAGGTTACATTGTACCTAAAATTTATGATTCTTTTAAAAGTTTAAGTTTCTTACTCAGGCCAATGAGAAGCGATTTGTCGCATCAATTGCGTGGCCGCTTGTTGTCCGGTCGTCGATTGAATGTCGCGTATACCAATTAAGAAACTAAATATGAAAAGAATCACGCAAAAGTATACAATTTTACCGGAACTGCGGACAACCAATTCTCCATGAGTGTTGTTTTGCCAAAATATATCTGCTTCCCAAGTGTTCCGGATTCTTCGAGGCCAGCCAATGGATAAGTTGCCCGTAAAATGCGACATCGTTGATCCGGCATTATCGACTTGTAATAACTAAAGGTCGTAAAAACTTTTTCGATGGCAGATACATTTCCATCTCGTCTGCCCAATATTGGATTGAATCTGGACCACATGGTGTTTAGAAGAGGCGAATTCGGTAATCATTGTTTTCAATCGTCTCCTTTCTGTCGCATTTCTCATGTCTGGTGCATTGTTGACGACAAGCTAAAATATTCAACTAATGATTGTATTCTGATCGATTACTTGGATTTGTTCAATTGAAATCAGAAAAGACCTGTAAAGTGGCTCCGTATTTCCAGAAATACTGCTGTAACATCTTGTAATGCGGGGATCGCATAAGAGTCTTGAACGAGTAGATTGATTGGCTCAAGTCGCTTCCGTAAATTGTTAACTTAAAACAAGTCAAGATGCCAGATGGTGATACCTTAATCTTTGAGCATCCATATCCGGAAATGAGCAGATAGATGATGAGCAAACAAGAACGAGGCCTTTCACCACCGGATGCATCAGGATCGGGGCAAACCAATTTGTAAAGAAACAGTGGTTGCTGGATCATATCTTCATGGACAGCCTTTTTACATGCCTTTCTTTTCATTAAGCGCCGGCCTAAACAATTATTTGACCAGACCTTATTAGCAAAACAACCTTGAACCAATGTTGAACACTTTGTCAGAATCGATGCACCTTCAATTTGGTCGGCTGGCACCGTCTTTGCACAAAAACACCGAATTCAATCCTCTTCCCTCCCAACGCGTGTAAACTGAAAGCAACGCGGCGGAAGAATGTAATCTAAAAACAACAACTTGTCAATCGAATAAACTGTAAGTACCTGATAGACAAATGTTGCGGAGAGTGCTAAGCAAGTGTAAATGCAGAAGATTTGTCCGGCTGGGATCGATGTGATTGTTCCAACTCCCAAGAAAACGCATCCGTGAGTGCAGTGATCAAAATCGAGACGGCTGCATCAGAAAGACATTCGCCTAAAATGAAGAGTTACATTAAATTTTCTATATCAATTCGGTTCAGCTTACCCATTCTTTGACCCGTTGTGTGGAGTTCGTGGCGTACGGCGAACAGCGGAAACCATGATAAGTACATATTGTCAGCTCCGACCGCTAAATTAACAATTAGTTGTTGGCTTTTTCACCATACCAACGACAAAGAAATGGCATCACGGCAACAATATCATTGTAAGGAGGGGACACCGAGTAAAAGACCTCCACCAATCGCCGTGAAGAATACCCATACCGGCATTGAAAACTCACGAAGGGTGAAAGAATCACAAACCAAAGCCGTTGGAACAAAGCGCGTCAACATATCGAACAATTGCTGATGCACTAAGAAGTAGACGAACAATTACTGATGCACCAAGAAGTAGACGAACAATTGTTGATGCACTACGAAGTAGACGAACAATTGCTGATGCACCAAGAAGCGATAGACGCCCAACTGTTATCACAAAGACAAACATCAAGCGAGTGAGGGACTGAATTTGGACAAAGCCAAATCAGTTGGCAAGGCAAATGGCAAAGAAGATGGCGATTTCAAGCACCTCATTGCGTTGGACCCTCGAAAATAATCTCAAATTTAATGCTTACAAGAAAAATGAAGGCTCAGCTTCTTTCCGCTAAAAACAAGCGAAAATTGAGAGCAGATCAGTTATTGATGCGCTTTAATGGAATCGACCATCACAATATCTCAACTCAATGGATTTTTCAGTGTTTTCGGTTTTAGAAGCCAAAGCTTGTTCAAATCTTCACAAAAACATCGAAAGCTTGAAGAAATCACTGTTGAAAGCGTGAGAAGAGCTCGATGCAGTCTATTTGGTCGTCACCGTTGATCAATTGATCAGAGCAGATCAGTTATTGATGTGCTTCAATGGAATCGACCAGCACAATATCTTGCACACAGATGAAAAGATATTTACCGTTGAAGGTCTTCTTAACCAGCAAAATGATCGGTTCTAGAAGCCAAAGCTTGTTCAAAGCCCCACAAAAACATCAAAAGCTTGAAGAAATCACTGTTGAAAGCGTGGAAAGAGCTCGATGCAGCTTATTTGGTCGGCTGATGGTCGCCACCGTTGACGCCTTCCCGTTGACGCCGTTGACGCCTTCCCGTTGACGCCGTTGACGCCTTCCCGAAACGCGTGCGAGCCTACTCAAATGCTAATGGTGGTTTATTCGAATTTGGTAGTTTGTAATTGTTTAACCTATGCAAATGTCTGTGAGCCTATTCAAATGCCTGTGAACCTATTCAAACGCCTAATGGTAGCCGATTCGAATTTGATAGTTCATTTATAATTGTTATGATACAATAAATGTGATTGAGTTAAAAATTGTCGTTTTTTTGTCGTTTTTTGCTCTTGTCTGCCTTAAAATCAGAACTTTATCTTGTTGCGGCAATTATGGCGCATCCTGTACTTTGCGATTTTTCTCAAAAACAACAAAAAGGTTCAAATAAGAAGCACTAAATCATTGAATAATTAAAAAGTAGAAGTTCAAGATAAATGTTTCAATATTTTCAATATTTGAATCGAAAAGCTCAGATTCAATAACAGTAAATTAACAAAAAGAAAATATTTTTTTTGACTAAATGACATAAATTTTGATTTTTGACATAAATTTTAAATTTAAGGGCAAGAAAATAAAAAAATGGACTTCTTTCTCAAGAGTTTAGACTGTTTCAATGATTCGCATAGACACAAAATTGCTTTTTTTAGACAAAATAAACTGAAGCCAAACAGAAAGAAAATTGAAGTTATCGAAGTTAAACAGTTAAACAATTGAAGTTAAACAAAGTTATCGATCAAGTTGGGATTTGTTCATAGCCAACCAAAGCATAAGCAAGCAACCAAAGCAATCAAAGCAACCAAAGCAACCAAAGCAACCAAAGCAACCAAAGCATAATGCTTCAGCTCGAGATTTCCCTTGAAAAGCACTCAGAATATGTGGCTTTTCTGAAGAAAGGCAAAGAATTCTCAATCGACGATCGTTTCTTGGGTGATGAGAGGGGACTTCCATCAAATGCACAAATTATATACGTCGACATTCAAGAGTCAAGCAGTATGTTATTAGTGTTAAAGTTCAATTTTTTCAACTTATAGTTCATTTTATCAAGTTTACAGTATGTTATTAGTGTTAAAGTTCATTTTAACCGCAAAAGATACTGAAAAGATACTGAGTACTGAAATTTTTGTTGACGTCATGAACCGTGCGAAATTTGAGCACAAAAAATATGTTTGGGTGTCGACGGAACGGATTCAATAAATTTAAAAATCGTTTTATTAAACTCCAAATATGAAGATGCATTTCGCGATTGTTAATTCGAAATGCCGAAACCATTAATGGAGAGCCCACAAATGCAATTATTGTTGATGCACATTGAAAAGATTTTGTCCTAAAATCATTTAAATATATTGGGTTGGTGAATGGAAACCTGCGGGACTTTGAACTAAAATTTATTCAACATAAAACCATAAATTCATTCCAAATAATTTCCATTATTATTGACGACTTCTGCCCATTTTACACGCAATTTGCGGATTCCTCTTTCGTAGTAGGATTTTGGTTTGTGTGTGAGACAAGTGTGAGACTCAAAAATGGAGGACTGGACATGTCCCAGTTTGAGGACTTTCTTCAAAAGAAACCCATTTTGGTGTCAATAGAAAAGTTGTAGAGAATCAAAAATTAGACTTATAGCCAAATTTCCTAAAAGATACACTTAGTAGTTTCGCTTCAAATGCAAGTTTTGTGAAAATTCGTAAATTTGGCATTTCTTGAAAACCAAAATGAAATATTGGTCAAAATACGGCTGGAAAAATGCCCGTACAGTAAGGCAGACAGAAAGACAGACAGAAAGACAGACAGATACCGTAACCTCCCCCCCCCTCCCCTCCCCCTTCTTTTCGGTCATTTCATTTGTGAAAATTCGGGGGCTGGGATAAATGCGCCTTTTTTTTGCGCACCTGGACATTTGCGCACCTTTTTTTGCTGGAAAAGGCCTTAGGCAAGGCCGTAGAGCTTCGAATATGGTTCCAATATGGTTCAGATGCGGTTCAGATGGTTTAGTCAAATTTGGGCTAAAAGGCAAAAACTGCGGAAAAGCGTTAAGTTGCGTAGTTTTTGCCTTTTAGCCCAAATTTGACGTGTCAGCGAGGTCTGATTTGTCGAAATTCGGAATCTACGCATACGATTCCCTAGTATGGAAACATTTTTGAAGCTCTACGACCTTTCCTAAGGTCTTTTCCAGCAAAAAAAAAGGTGCGCAAAAAAGGTAGCATTTGTCCCACCGCCAAAATTCGTAAATTTGGCATTTCTTGAAAACCAGTTTTTGAAGCGTTCTGAAAATTTGCATATAAGCTTGATTTTTGATTCTCTACAACTTTTCCATTGGCACCAAAATGGGTTTCTTTTGAAGAAAGTGCTCAGACTGTCACATATGATGATAGCCGGCAGTTTTCAATTCACCAACCCAATGGATTCATTTTAAATTACATTTAAAAACAGACTACTTAATAAAAAAAACCCACGTTGCAAGAGATTTTCTTGCAAATGAAATCCCCGAAAAAACACGAGAAATCAGCGGAGATTCCGTGGAGAAAAACGACGAGAAAAAGGAAGGACAAAGAATTCATTTCGAGGAATTGACAAAAGTTTTTGGGAAGATTTGCATCTCTCAATCTCTCAATTTCTCAACTTCTAAATCGTTTTCTATTTGTTTGGGTTTGTGATTCATTTTCAAATTCCCTCAAACGATTTCAATTCATTTATCCTTTATAAAATGAC